GCTGGACAGAGACGGGGAGGGGAGGGGTGGCTCGTTGTGGCTGCTGGGAATACAGTCGGTAGTGACCGCAGGTCCTCCCCTGGGAGGGGGGGGGGGGGCTCAACCCGCCCCTCTGCATTGCGTACTGATATAACACTGACTGCGTGAGAGCGAGGCATGGGCACGAGGGCCAAACAACGATTGAACTTCATAGAGCCATTCCGACGCACCTAAAGCAACGGCTCCAGTCCGTGGGGCATACAGGCCACAGCGCTCCACCCGTTCGCACTTTCGCCGACAGCGAGTCGCGGCGACGCGCGACGCCTGTCTCCCACGGTCACAGTACAGTGACCACGTCACTTCACTCCCAGTCGTTGCCGACGCCAGTCCTGTTCCGTCTTTGAGGTGTCGGTGCGCATTCTAGTCCGGCGTGTGACCTGACCTGCGTCAGATCATCTCTTTTCTCTTCGCCGTGGATCAGATCACCACAGTCAAGTTCTCCAATCTAAACCGAAGGTAGAGGGGTAGAGGCCAGTCCAGAACAGATGACACGGCCCCAGTGAGAAATGGCAGTTGAATCATCGACATCGAGATGTCACCGAAACGGTGTCAAAATGGTGGAATCGGCGTCGAAACTATCTAGTTTTAATATGAATTTCTCACTGCGGAGGTGTCGGAACGCGAAGTAGACGAGTGACGGTGTGGCAGTTTGTTAGAGGTTAGGTTAAAGTGACTTCACGGGCAGAACTCTGAACGCAGGTTTACATTTTCCTGTTATACTGATGAACGTTGCCACCAAGGAATAGCAGTCGAGAATATCAAACAAAACACACTGAGAGAAATGTTTCTTTGCAGCCATCAAAATTTTGACACCCACTAACAAATTTTGTTCAATCCGTCCAGCTTAGTCAACAGGCATCAAAATTTTGGTTGCTGTAACTAAAAGTTAAGTTGCTGTGACTAAAACTTTGATGCCCATGACTAATCCGTCTGATTGAACAATTTTTGATGGCTGCAACAAAACATTTCTCTCAGTGCACCCTATTTTGAGAGGTTCGTTTATGTTCTAAAGCAGCAAAATCAAAATATCCGTCATTCGAAAGATACTAAAACATGTAGCAAATTTCTCAAAGAAAGGTGGGTTACATTTGAAATTTCAAATGCTATACATCCACAAAATAAAGTTACATCCTCTCCCACTTTTCTCTCTGGAGTTTGAATTTAAATTGTTCCGTATTGTATTTATTTATTTTGTGTGATGCGCCCTTTTGAAATCATTTGGTTGTCTTTCTAATACAATGTGTCAATTTGTTTATGTAAACCTGTCTGAATCTAGAGAAGTCAATCTAAAGCCACAATAAGGCAGAGGCAGAACATACCTGCTGTTTACCAGTTGATTCTAACAGGCCCAGCTCATATCAGGAGCTCAGGCCAGGCGCGGTTATATACGCGGAGGGTAGGGGTGACGCCCCCCCGCCCTCCTCACAGCTTCACAGCAATACTTGGCCTTGGCCTATGAATTTTGCTTTAGATTATACCGAGCACTGGACATTTCTATTTTTATTGGTCTCCCCGGCATTTATGCAAAATATCTTCTGCTGTGCAGTGCGCCCGCTCGCCATGTCCGTGGAGAGCCTCGAGCTACTGTCGGACGTCGTGCTGCTGATGGTGCTGGAGCACCTGCGCCAGGACGACCTCCTCGCCTGCCGCCTGGTGTCCAAGAGGCTCGGGCGCCTCGTCCTGCGCCACCGCGTGTGGCGCCATCGGCACCTGTACCTTGACGACTACCGCGCGGGCGCCGTGCTGCGCCTGGCTCCGATTCTCAAGAGTGTGACCGCGGCCGCCCACCGCACCTTGCCGTTGATCACCAGCACGTGCGCCATAAAGGGCTTGGAGCTGCGCGACGAGGTGGGTCACATTGTCAACGCCTCGAACCTCGCCCTGGTGATCCGCGTCCAGGAGTCGCTCGGGCGCCTGAGGCACCTCGTCATCTCTTTCCTCAACCTGGTGACCGGCGCCGACGCGCTCATGAGGACGCTGGCGGTCGTCTCTGACCTGGAGTCGCTCCGCATTGTGGGCTGCGTACCCTCAACGACCCACCGCGTCGTACAGGCGTCGCCTAGCCCATCCCTAAAGGTTTTCCGATGCGAGCTGACCAAGGACTCGGAGTCGTTCGTGAACACCGTGCTGGGCGCGCACGCTGAGACCCTGGAGGACGTGGGCCTATGCTCGGGCGGCTACTTTGGAGTCGGCTACTCCGGCGAGTCGGACACCACGGCGCGCCTCCTCGCCACCATGCCGAGGCTCCAGAAGCTAGAGTGCGAGGCGCTCCCCGGGCTGCAAGCCGTGGCCGTGTGCGCGGCGCTCCATCACGTGACCGTCAACGTGCCTTCCTTCAAGCAGCGCACCATCGAGTGGGCGGCCGAGCTGCTCCGCGCGGGCCCCATGCGCTCGGTGTGCCTCAACTACGACGTCTTCAACTACGAGGTCGGCTCGAAGCTGATCGAGGCCCTGGGCGAGCGCGGGGGCTCCCCGCTGGAGTTCCTGGCCATCATCAAGGTGCCCCAGGTGGGGCCGCTACTCAGGGCGCTGCCCTCGCTGCCCGCCCTACGCGAGCTGCAGCTGCTGGAAACGCCGCAGGACGACGCCGACGAGCTGCTGCGGGGCCTCACGCCCCAGGTGGCGCCTGCGCTGCGGATCCTGGGGCTGACGGCAAGCGGAATAATCATCAGTGGGCTGACGGCGACGGCACGCCGCCGAGTGGAGTGCGCCCACGAGTGGCTGCATGGGGACGGGGTCAAGGCGGCGGTCGTCAACAACCCTCTGCTCCACACTGAGCTCCGGAACACGTCCGCGTGCGGCGATTGCGAGGCGTGCATGCAGGGCTGCCACCAAGAAGTTATGTGGGGCGGCGACCTCGGGCTCTTCTCGCACGACCTCGACAAATGCCCCTCCCCAGAGGACCATATTGATACAGATTCTAGGCGCTCCTGGGTCCAAATTCGAGAAAACGTTGCTTGATTGTGCTGTTTGACTAATAAAGCATTCCGGCAAAGCTGAAAAGAAAGGGAATGCGGGGAACAACAAAACGGAAGTCACTAGCTTTCACATGTTGACGTCCGTTTTCCTGTTGCTCGCATTCTTCTGCATTTCAGCTTTGCTGGAATGCTTTATTCTGTAACGTATTCTTAGTTTCAAATCTGCCATAGTGTCCGTCAGATGTCAAATGAGTTTTTGGAGTTCTGTTGATAGCAGGATACTGCACACTCATTTGATTTGAATTTTGTACTTTTCACCTAGTATTGTGCTTGGTACCCCACTAGTGTTTCTTTTGTTTTGTCCCGCTTGCCTCCTAAACACGAGTACGTAGCCTACAACAGATACATTTTTCTACTTGTTGTGTCGTGCCTACTTTGACTTTGTAAATTTTCTTCTTTATAAAACATTGAATAAATGACAGTTTAGAGACCCGTGCCACGATATCGTTTTCTCTTATTTTCTGTCAAAAGTCCGTTTGAAACGACGGCGTCCTACCCCTACCGCCTGGCAGCGGCACGCTGGGTCCAAGGGCGGGTGAGCCGCGATCCCTCGAGTTACTCTGCACCGCCGCCTGCAGCGCTGCGAACATCAGACCACGCACTCGCCTCGGCACCCCCCCCCCCCTTTCTCAGCAGTGAATGACTGACTCCACTCGAGCCGAGCGTGACTCAGTGTCAGTGCGTCCCCGGACCGGCGCGGCTCTGGTTTGGATCACGTCGCGCATCGCGGAGAGTGTCACTTGTCACTGCGCTGTGGATCCATGGTCAGAGCTCACTGCTCGGCATCCATCCTCAACCTCGCCCATAAAGGTAGAAGGTAGGCCAGTCCACAGGAACTTTGGGAACAGGCTGCGGCCCTTCCTACTCTGCTGCTGTTCGTCGCACTGACGCCCCGGTGACCATTGTCTGCGCAGTGTGCGTGCCCGCCACAGTCCCCCGACCATGTCCGTGGAGAGCGTGGAGCAGCTCCCGGACGACGTGCTCGTGACGGTGATGCAGTACCTGGGCGTGGAGGACGTCCTCGCCTGCCGCCTCGTGAGCAAGAGGTTCGGCTTCATCGCCCTGCACCGCGACGTCTGGCGCCAACGACGGCTGGACAAGGCGAAGCCCTGCGTGTGCGCGGTGCTGCGCCTGGCGCCGTGCCTGGAGATGGTGCCGTACACCAGCAGGATGCACACCCTCGGGCTACTCACGACCAGGTGCGCGGTGGCGGAGCTGGAGCTCACTGTGGAGCGCGATGATCGTAAGGTCGCGCGTGGCCTCGGGGCCGCCGCCGTAGCGATCCGCCAGCAGCAGGCGCTCGGCCGCCTGAGGCACCTTCACCTGGATATCGACAAACGGGTCACTGCCGGCGACGTGCTGCTGAGAACGGTCCTGGCGGTGACCTCTGACCTGGAGCGGCTTGTAGTCGAGGGCATGCCAGAGACGGCGTACTCCGTGCAGCAGCAGCAGCCGTGCACCTCCTCCCTAAAGTACTTTAAGTGCGGAGCTGGCAACTATTGGGGTAAAACGTCCTCTGCAGCCTTCGCCACCGCCGTGCTGGCCGGGCACGCCGCCACCCTGGAGGAGGTGGACCTCGGTAAGGGCATCAATTCCCTCAGCACGTCCCGGCTGCTGGCAGGCATGTGCAAGCTACGGGCGCTCAAATGTGGGATTCTCCCCGAGATGGAGGCTGTGCTGATCGGCCACCTGCAGGCGCTCGGCAGCCTGAGGTGCCTCAAGCTCGATTTTGAGAAAGAGATGCCTGGATCGGACTTACTCATGAAGACGTTACTGGCTGCGACCTCTGACCTGGAGGTACTGGAAGTTGACGGGTCCGTACCGAAGGGAAACTGTTCCATCCAACGGCGACCTAGACCTTCCCTGAAACGCTTCAGATGCACGTCCTCGCCAGCCTTCGTCGACGTCGTGCTGGCCGCGCACGCCGCCACCCTGGAGGAGGTCGACCTCGGTGAGGGCGACAGATCGCACTCGCCCACCACAGCTCGCCTGCTCGCCGACTTGCCCAGACTCCGGTCGCTCAAGTGCGATGCGCCCCCCGGGATGGTGGCCTTGGCGGCGAGCGAGTCGCTGAGGGACGTGTACCTCTACGTGTACCAGCCAGAGGACGACAACGACTACGGGAACGGGGCGGCCACCGAGTACCTCCGCCGAGCCAGCCACCTGCGCAAAGTGTGCCTCGACTCAGCACATCACAACCTGGATGATGGCGAGGATGTCTTCGTCGCGGACCTGATAGACGCCCTGGTCTCTGCCAGACCTGCCGGCCTGGAGGTGCTGGCGGCCAATTACGCCTTCCTCCCCCCGCCCACCGAGGCCCTGGTGCGCGCGCTGCCCTCGCTGCCGGCCTTGCGGGAGCTGGAGGTGACGCATTCGCCGCTCGAGGACGAGCTGCTGCTGGCCATCACCCCCGCCACGGCCCCGGCGCTGCGCAGGATCGTGCTCTCGACAGACGTCGGCGGGGAGACGGAGGAGTGCTTGCACGCCTGGGTGCACAAGAGCTCCGTCAGGGCTGTGCTCGCCGCGAACCCCGACGTCCATATCCAGCTACTCGATCACGACCCGTACTATTCAGGTGACGCCGACCACCTAAGATGTACCTGTCGCGAGCTGCAGCTGGACTGCCACCAACATATCGACTGGCAACGGGCCGGACCGCTGGGCCTTTACTCCCACGAGGTTGACAAGTGCCCCTCTCCAGAGGACCACACCACCGACTCTTACCCATGGCGCCTTTACAGCAAGAGGCGGTACATATTAACGTGGCTTCAAATCCAATGAGATTTTAATTGTATGTCTGCCTATCTGGTGTTGCTTCTGCATTGCTTCAGGTTAATTTGTACTGTAATAAATACTACGCTGTGAGCCGTCATTCAGGATGTAGGGTATCATTTCTCTGTAGAATATCCATTCGAATTCACGTTCCTGATCAACAAGCAGTCTATTTCAGGCGGAATAGGGCATTGTCGCCCCAAGACGCGAGCGAAAACGACATCGCCAGGTCTGGGGAGGTCGGTACACGCGAGGGTACACGCCTTTGCGGTAGGCGAAGTTGAAGTTGAACCTATCGCACAAGCCGGTTGCACCGATGAGAGAGGCTGCAATACCAGGTGGCTGATTCACGCCGCGCACTTCTGTAGTTATGCTGTACCGCATGCATGTGTGCAGGCGGGTTGCCTACTCGCTCGGCTCGTAAGGCGCCATGGACAGGGGCGATAGGCAAGCCCGCCCACACTCGTGCATGCGGTACAGTACACCTAGAATTGCGCGGCGAGAATCAGCCACCTGGTATTAAAAACCTGAAAATGTCAAGACGGGTCACCTGGTCGTCTTTTCCATCAGTATTTTAGCCTTACTAATACGGCACTTCCAGTCAGATCCCCCATGGATCGGTACTACTTTTCTCTTTTTCACTTCCGTAATTTTTCTGTCTCGCGCGCTCTGCTGCCACCACGACGCCACTGGCCTCGAGTGCAAACGCAAACATGGCGCGGAGGGCAGCAGAGGGCGAGCCTCCCCCGTCTCCTCCCCCCACC